GGCGTTGCAAGTCCAGGTTTTTTTTATATACGTCCGTGGTTCTTAATGGCACGCGCGGGGGTACGCGTTGGCGGCGTCCACACGAGAATAAATTCGTTGCGCGTACTCAGCGTGCCTTGCATCAAACGCGCATAAACTCGCACGCCTAGGCAGTGAGTCAGTACCACTGATCTCCATTATACTGGATAAGTCATCGCGCATTGTTTGTGCACAAAATGCGCGGCCGAACAATGTGATGCTGTATGCCGTGCATTTCTGGTCAACATAACCTTTTTCTCATGGGATGATGGCTAAGTCCTCGGCTTCCCTCCCGAAAACAAGCCAAAAAAGAGAAAATGCAAGAATATCATTTCCGGAAATAACTGGCCATTTTCTTATTAACTAACCCACTCGAAAGGGATAATGTTAACCTGCTTTTGTGTGTCTTTGTTTTTAATTCATTTTTACACCTATTGTCTACGGTTTCGCTCCAGCAATCTTTTCACTTTGGGTTGGTTCAATCGAGATTTGTTCAGTGTGTAAAACTTTGAGAATTCCATAAGGACATGCAATAGGTTTTGTCAGTACATATGATGTCCAAACTGTCCATGTGTTTTCCCGTCTGGTTTCGATGAGCCAACACTGAAAAAAATCACACATAAAATTATTTTAATTTTACACACTCTCAGGAAAAATTGTACTAAATAAAATCCATTCGTATATCGAGCAAATTTTATTGAAAACCGACATGCGGCATATGGTTGTGAGAGAATCTTTTCTGTGAGCGCAGCTTTAAATGAGCGACAATACTAACTTACTACCGTTTTTAAAACAGACACTTATTAATCAGCTGAAAGATTTACATTTAACAACTACTTTCCGGCATAAAAAGTCAGTTTTAACTGAGAACGAATAATTATGTTATGTAGACAAAGTTTCTTTCATTGCGTTGAAGGCTTTGAATTCCCTTGTTTGTAACTTCATTCAACAGAAACGTGAGCACTCTGATTCTCACTTTGGTTTCATCTCTGCTCTGAAGAAGAATTCTGTCACTCATATCACATCGTCTGTCACACGATTTAGGTTCAGTGCGCCTTTAGATCCGACAAACACAAATCATGGCTGTCTTGGAGGTTTTTCTGGTGAAATCTGGGGAAAAATAAACGACAAATTACTCATCTAGCAGTTTGAAACCAATTTTGCCAATAAGTAACATTTCAGACGGTCCCAACTTAGAGATAAAAAGCCTAAAAGGCTAGATAGAATGTCATAAATTTCCAAGCATTATCAAGTACAACTTGAGAAGCTTTCTGAAACAAAAAAAAAAGTGCGACTCACATTTCCTTCTGTTCCTTCTTCTAACTTGACGTTGATCCCCGGTAATTCACTGCTGCGTACACCTCAACCATTATTCGTTCCAAATATATCAATTCCAAGTGCAGAATTCAGTTTTTCTTTGAAATCTGACGATTGAAGCAAAAAAATCAACCGGTTTTTGAAAAATTCCATTTGAAAGTACACGCAACGAAATTCCCGACGCTCGTTATTTACCCTCCTGAAAATAAGCATACGCGGCCGGGACGCGTTTTGGCCGCGATGTCCTATCCAGTATATGGGTGAAGCACATTTGCTTTGTACAGGAGTGTACGCGTGCAGTGCGCAGTATGCGAAGACAGCAACCCTGCGCCGTAAGGAGTGAAGCTAGTATGCCAAAATTGTACATGTGTGTTTCACCAAAATATTATTCAAACTTTAGGTTCACTGTTACTCTTCAAGTGAATTTGTTTCACACTCAGTGTGCTGGTAGTGTCAGACAATCTCGGGTGTCAAACCACGGACGCCAGTCAGACGATACCGTCCAGTGTTTAGTCAGGGGCGTAGCAAAGGCATTGGGGGGGGGGGTTAAATCGAGTCAATTGTGCTGACTTGTAAGTTGTTCGCTCTCCTCCTGTCGTGTAAACTGCCGGGAACTGTTCCGGGAACTCTGTGGGTACGGAAAATTTCATGCTTCAAGGCGGAAAATACCGATAGCCAACGTATTTCGTTTATGTATAAATTTTGGGTTCATTAATTTGCCGACCGGAGCTCAACTTGTAGACTGGAATTCATAACTGCGGGGGGGGGGACACCCCCACAGCCAGCAGTCACTACCCCGCTGTGCTTGTTGTGTGTTGGTCTGATTAATTACCCCGAAGTTAACCTTATGTGAACTTTCAAGACACTACCAGCAAATATAATTGCTAAAGGAGAATACAAAGAAGAGACGTGTACTTGTTTGATTTCTGTCTTTAAAAGTCAAGCTTGTTTTGAAATGGAATTACAAAAGTAAATGGCTCAAACAAAAGGATTGAAATGGAAGAAGCCTAATACGGGAGATCCATTGAGGACTAAAGGGAAACTCACGATGAAAATTTTAAAAAGACAGATCGTCCCGTTTCTCTCATTGTTGTCATGTAATTATCATAAATCCGTTATCACGCGGGGTCCGCTATCCACGCCACCCACACTGAAAAAAGACGGAATTTCCAAACCACAATCAAGCACAGCTGGGGCGAAGTGGGAATGGTGCGAAGTGGCGGCCGTGGTGAATGGAGATGGGGGCTAAATGGCAATGGGGGAAGTGTTTTGTGGCAAAGTGATGCGGAGGGGGGGGAGGGAGTGCAACGTGGTGAAGCGACCGACACCTGCTCATCAGCCCCAACTATAGTTGGGATGGTATCTAATTGGGCTATTATATAGTTGGGTTGGATGCTAAGATTGGGGCATAAGCACGACTGGGGCTTGATGCGTGCACTCACTTAGTCAACCTCATACTTTGAACACGTCAAGGCCTCTGGTTATACTGCGGGGGGAATCCTCTCGTTAGATATATCGAGCTCCACGATGGACAAGGACCAAGTTTTGTCCACCGAATTTGTCCTCAACCGAATTGCGAAACCCGACATCTCCCAACTTGGGCCTGCTTGCTGTGCCCAACTTACTTGGCTAGGCTCCGCCAGCAACAACGGCTTCCTCATAAGCGCACGTCTTATTCTCAGCCGTAGCCAAAATAATTTCGACGCGGCACTTATTGTGCACATGCGCAGTGTAAGGCGACGTGGCACACATGCAGTAACTGAAGCTATACGGACAGTGTAATATACGTACATGTACAGTGTACATGTACATGATGTACTGCTGCTGGAACGTATGGAACTGACGAGTTAACATTTTGCAAATTGTTACAAAAACTACGTGAACATGGGCGATCTCCAGTACCTTCTCTTTGGAGCATGTATGCTTTGCTGCTTCTCGTCGATTAAAGGGTATTTTATTGCCATAGATGCTCATGCTGAGGAGTGCTTTCACGACAAAGTCACCTCTGGAACAAAGATGGCCCTGACTTTTGAAGTGGCAGAGGGTGGTTTTCTTGACATCGATGTCAAGGTATTTTTACCTACAAGTACAAGTTAGTTTTAGCATGGAGTGTAGGCCTTTCATCAGATATGTTTTACATTTTTTTGGAGTCGAAATGGATGGCTGCTGCATGATGCTATTTTGCTAACATTCAGACATGTCAGACATAAGGGCTAACATACATGTATGCCTAATCAAATTTCTACAAGTTTAACGTTTACCAACATGCCAACCATGTTTACCCACCACCATGCCCACGTGATTTTTGAGATGCTTGTTATGCGCCAACTACGTATATGTAGCATCTGTCCCAATTATACTCTATACTTATAGTAGCGCAGATTTCGGACCTTATTTCCCTTTTAGAAAATCTACTAAAAGTTAAAACCTCTGATGAAAAAAGATTCCTGCTTAGGCCTATACAATTAGAAACTAACATAAAAAAACAATTATGGTATCAAACATGAAATTTAGGCGAAAATAGTAAAATAGTCCAAGCACGGATCCGAACTGACACACACCAGTGGCTCCAAACTTTCCACTTTGACCACTCGACCACAGTGTTCAGCGATCAAAATAATTTTTAAAATATATAAACCATCGTGATGATCAGCTACGTCACCGCATATCAGTGCCGTAATGATAGAAAATGGGAGATGCGTTATGCCTGCCATAATGATAGTCACTTCGAATTTAAAAAGGACTATGGGGCAGTGTAGACATCCAGGAGTTTCAAACAAACAAACAAACTAGCAACCACACTGCACCGATGAAAACAACTGTAATGAGCATTCACGTACGTATTGATCAAAGAAAACATTGGGTAAACCGATTCTCAGACTGGCTGGTGCATGCCTACGTCACCAAGGTTGCTGTTTTCACTGGGGCGGTACCTTCCATTTTGTGAGAATCCCAGATGTCCGCGCTGCCCCGTAGCATTGTAGTTAGGACTGATGCTGTAGTTGGGGCATAACACCTGTACCCCCTTAGAATTGTTCTGCACAATCTTGAATCTTGTGCAGATTTATTTTACTCCATCCCGAGTTGATTTGCCTTTGAAAAATATCCATTCATAAGATAATCAACTCACGCAGGAGTACAGTAGATTTGTGAAAGAGTCAAGATTGTGCCAAACAGAATCAAGAGAGACATCATTGCTGCACAGGTGCTCAATGACGCGGGATTTGATGCAACAAACACTCAAAGACTATATCATTTAAATACATTCACTCTGAAGGCACATATTGGGCACAATCGGTCATTGTGCCAGATGGCTTGTTCTTTTCGCGATTGGTTAATCTTAGTGCACAATTTGTCAATTATTCTGCCCTCAGCCAATCGCCTTTTCTTTCAACTGCACAGTTGTGAAATATTGTTTCAACAGAGGGAACTAAAGTTACGAAAAGCTCTGTGTACACAATAAGTTAAAATAAGTTTTTCTGTGAGTTTAAGAGACTTTCCCACATTGTTCAGCAACGTGAATGAATGTGGTCAAAGGAAATGTGTAAGTATTTTTCAGTAAATATTTAGAAATACACTGCATGAAGAATTGATTGCACTTTACCTCAGTTTCCCAAGTACAATCTGTTTAATGTACATCATCTGTATTCATTTCAAGTCTTAATCTTACTTTTAAGATCACTGGACCAGACAACAAAGTCATCTACTCTGGAGAAAGAGAGTCCAATGGCAAGTATACCTTCTCAGCGCACATGGATGGCCAATACCGCTACTGCTTCAGCAACAGGATGTCCACCATGACCCCGAAGGTCGTCATGTTTTCCATCGATATCGGGGATTCCCCAAAAGACCAGTCTATGGACACAGAGGGTAATGAACGAAGAGACAAAGTCTGAAAGAAAAAAATGCCGAGTGTGATTTTGCTCCAAATGTATAATTGGAGAACAGAATGTATCTTTTGTGTCATACATGTATTTCAGCAGTGGAACATTTTCGGGGTTTATTTGTGAAGACTTCTAGTGAAGAAGCCCCAAAATCCAATGTCTCAACTGGCTGCCTGTTCTGAGGACAGGCAAAAAATATCCAGGACAAGCAGACTTTTGCATGTACAAACTTTACAGTTATCTCACAAGTCTTTACAGAGGTGTGAGAATCCAGATATTTAGCTGATTTCAACTTTTTGTTTTGAAGGTTTACCTAGGTTTTTGTACACCTGGTCTGTACAAAAGTATGGGAACTCTTTACATTTCAGCTTGTTGCTAGCTGTTTTCAGCTTTAATTTTACGCGCCAGTCACACCCTTGTCATTAAATTGGTGAATAAATCTTTAAATTTCCACGTAAATCATTGGGTTGAGTGGAAAAGGGATTGCACCAAGGGATACCCATTTCAAAAATTTTGCTTTGATCAGATAGGCAGTTTGTAGCCTTACCATCCAGATTTACTTACATGTACTTTTGGATAAGTTGCCAGGCTTATTTCCTTTGTTAGCCCTAGACGGACTTTGGTGTTCAGGGCTACAGTTGTTTTGTGTAGTTTTTGTGACAGATCTTGGTTACTGTCAGGCAGTCATGCTGATTTTTGCTTAATTTGCTGAACAAAAATGAATGGTTTAGCAAACTCCAATTTAGGCCCTGGTACAGTGTAAACCGTGCCATTAGTGGCCTCTGTAAAGTCCAGGAACTCTGAAGTCTAAGAAACTCGGCTTGTAAAATTGTAATACAGGTACCCTTTGCGATTATTTTGAACTCCCTTGCAGAGCATCATAACAAACTGGAGGATATGATTAACCAACTGGCCACAGGACTGACAGCCGTGAAACATGAACAGGAGTACATGGAGGTCAGAGAAAGAGTTCATAGGTCAAGTGAGTATGGAACACACCTTTTGTGATGTTTGGGGGGGAACGTCTGCAAAGCCCCAATGTAATACTTGAACAATCGGTATATGTTAGGTCACAAAGGGCATGTATTGTGGATGTGCATGTACCCAAAATGCAAACTTAACAGCTGAGTTTCTTTCCTGCATTGTGCAGGCATTGAAGTTAATTCCTCAATGCAGAAAGATAAAATAAAAGATGAAAATAGGTTACCATATTTCAGATTATTGTTGGGAAAATAAGAAATTGCGTAGTCTCGAACAGCTTTGAAATTACATGTAATAATAAACAAAAATCAGGGTTCGTTACAATCTTGATTTTTACTTCATGCAACTAGGGAACAGAAAGGAACTTCTGTTAGATATGTAAACATCTGCATACTTGTAGCTATGATCTACTCACAGGTAGTACATGTATCTACATAGGACCATTTTTGAAATATGGTTTGGCTGAGTGTTGCAAAGACTACAAACACTACACCATAGTTTCTTGGAACAGTTAGGCATGGTCTCGATTTTATGCACAGAAATGTTAAATCACCAGCCCAAAATTCTGTGATATTTATCTGCCTCAAGCAGAGGCACTTCCTCTTTGCTTGAAAAGAACCATGTTGGTTGGGAGTGTTCATTTTGTCGGTAGTGATGCGACTGTAAGCTCAGTCGGGCTCGAGGCTCACCTGGTTCTTCCCAGGATATTAGTTACGCATGAATTTGTTAATTATTACTGGGGCTTGAAGTTGGTAAGAAAGTCACAGACACTGTACTTCAGCTGCAACGTTTGCGTTCCGTTGTTTAGCAAGGTTATAAGCAGTCTATCAATGATCATTTTTCTTTTCCTCAACAGTCAATGACAACACAAACTCCAGAGTGGTCTTATGGTCATTCTTTGAAAGCTTGGTACTGGTTGCTATGACGCTGGGCCAAGTGTACTACCTCAAGCGCTTCTTCGAAGTTAGGAGGGTGGTTTAATCTTTACTTGTTCAAATTACCTGCCACAGGACAGTTACAAGTTTTTTTGAAACTCTGTTCGTCTGAAAATTGTAATTTAGTTGGACATGCAACTTCATATTTATCCCATTGCTGATTTAATCTGCCACTGTCAGCTAAAAAGTCAGCACGCTGAATGATAAAAGCAATATATGACAAAATAGATCACTGGCAAACTACATGAGGTGCCTGGATCCTTCGAGGTCCCAAGTTGTTAAGAATTTGTGTTTTGACTCTTAACTGTCCTGTGGCATTATGAAGCAATTTTGAAGTATTTTTCTGGCACGGATGTCAATCAAACTTGGGTAACTCCACATTTTTGTAAGTCCCCCGGACATAATACCTGCATATACGTATGACAAGTGGAGAACCCAGTCATTTGCGCTTCATGTGCCATTTAAATATTTTTTCTGTTGATATTGCAGTAATTTTTTTCTTTTTATTTTTGCTCTTTTCTTCAAGCTAGACCTGTTTCTCTCGTCATTTTACCATGTGCCAATATAATTTGGTAATGTTTATGAAATCCCTCAGTTCTACACCTAATTTTGTGAATCATTGTTTTGGTGGATTCTTGTTTCTTGCTTAGGTTGTAGTGAATGTTTAACAGTACACTACAAATTTGAAAGCAGGTATTTCTTTTGGGAATACAGTGCAAATGACTGGGAAAAAAAAGGGTCAAATTGAATGTCAGTTGCCTGTTTAAAAATAGTCACCTTCCATGGGTAATTTTGGATATCGCATATGTACACTTAAAGATGAAACTACCAAGAGCAAGGCAGGGCTGGAGATCAGGAAGTGCAGGCAATGCAGGATACCCCTGTCTGGAGTTAGAAAAACTAGTCTGTGCTTGAACTAGTTCACACAAGAGCCGTGTATGGAGAGTTACAATATAAGTGTCACCACTGTTAGGAACAATTTTGCCACTGGACATGGACAGTTGGCATACAATAGGCGCACGCTCTACTGTCCACGTAATGAACGGCCATTTTCTTCCAAAATCTGAAGCTGGTGCTGCTCTCCCTTTATGCAGCTCTGGTTTGCACCATACTTCTCTCTGTTGCCACCGTGTTTGTACTCATTTGTGACCACAGAATGCAAGTATTGAAATTACATTTACCGGCAAATACATGTATTTCCAAGGCATAGTTATTTACATACTTTGCAAAATGCCAGGTGTTTCCAGTATTTTAAAAGCATTTAACACATTGACACCTGCAGAAAGAAGATCTTGTTTTGTGTTACTCATTATTTTTCAGCTTTGCATTTTTTTCGCTTTGACTGCACTGCATGGTGGCACATTTGATATCAAGATATTGTACACCATAAACAACTTGTCTGGCTTTTCAGGTTTTCTGCACATAAATATGGATTTTTTTCATCATTTACTTGTCACAAATCCACAGGTTCTGTACATGATGATTTCCGTGTTGAAATTTCACTTAATTCTTGACAAAAGTTTGTGTTCCTTTTTCGCCAGATGTACTTTATTTGCGACTTCCCTCTTTTTTGGTGTAGGAATGTTACACATTGATTTGTCATGTTTGTGTATTTTTGAAAATAAAATCTTTGGTGGTGAAAAACCAAGTGTGCTTAATGTGTGTGTCGCATTTCCAAGTCCCTGAACCAAATGTCTGTTCTGGAACACCTACATGTACACAAGAATCACGTCAAGGGTCCTTTCTGTGCTCGCATAAAATGGTGATACATGTATACATGTAGAGGCTAAATACTATAAGCAGATGTGAATATGTCAATTATTTTAACATTTACTATTAGAGATAAGCATGAAGCCAAACCTACCACACCACAGATGGGCCCAACTGAATATTTATACAGATTCCAGAATGTCACCATTTTCACAAAAACTGCACAATGTCTTCATGCTGGTTGCAAATTAACCTATATTTCAAAAATTTTTCAGTGACCAAGCTTATGGGTCATTCCATGTCAGACCAACACACCTTTTGACCTCAAGTCATCAGATTTGTATAAAAATTGCTGTGATTGTAGACAGCAATAAAAGATACATATATGCCAATTATTAGAAGAATGTGGTTGGGGCAGATGTCCAAAATGGACAGTTTTAGCTTAAAAATGTGCCTTTTAAGTTAAAATGAAACATAACTTTCAAAATTTTCATCGCATATTTTATTTGGTATCAAAATAATTGGAAATACATGCTCTTTTCACTGATGATTTGAACATTTGGTTTTATGAATCAAGGGTCATGATGACCTTTAACGCATACCTTTGACCCATTTTTAAGAAAAGTATCCTTAAATTTTTTTAAACAAAATGTTTTGAAAGTATGGTTCCTTCTCTAGTAGTACCCACTTAAATCTTTCTGGGCACTTTAAAACAATAAAGTTATGGCCATTTTTCTGAAAATGTAAATTTTGTATGTAGCCCTAACAGAAGAGTTTGTACTCAAACATTCTGTACCTTGAAATGAAACTAATGAAGCTGCTAGTGGTTTGATACAGAGCAATCTCACACAAGATTATCATTTCATTTGGGGAGCCTGTATTAGGAGCAAAACAGAGGCCAATGTTTTGGGAAGTCAGTGAGGAAATGTTTCTTTGTGTTGACTGGACAAAGTATTACACTTGAGAGCGCCACACTACTTACCCTTGCCTTACCCTTACTTGCCCTTGAACATTGCACAATCACGTTGGAGTACAGTAAGCCAACAGTGTGAGTCTTTCTAAGTGACATAGTGAGCAGTGTGAAAGGATTTGGTGTTGTGCAGCAAGCTTTATGAGCAAAGCAGTAAACTCTTGTGGATTTCAGGTGGGCAACTAGAGGATTTTTGGTAGATATCCAAGATGTATCCTTTAGATATATGGTACTGTAGGATAACACAATGGTCTAGTGTTCAGTTAGAAAATACCTCAATGAGGTGTGTTCTGATGACACCGAACATTACTACCCAAGTGATGATGAATTACTGTGTTTATGTCTTGGATCAGGTTGTGAAACATTAAGCAGCATCCGCAATTTTAAACAACTTGCAAAGTTGTATTCTGCTAATGATCAGCGGAGGTGTTGTGATCCCCTTCAAGTACATGTGAGCAAGGTACATTGCAGCAGTCCCAAACATATCAATATCTTGGTCTTATACCAGGAAAGAAACTCTGTTGCAGTTGTCTTTTGTCAGTGCTAAGCTTGCCCTCAACCTTGCCCTGAACCTCAAACATCTTCAAGTTCTCATCCATCAGTTATTGATGAACCATCAACTACTGTAGTCAAGCCTATCCATCACAAACACCAATACATGATGTAGCTGCTGCAGCATCAATCTCCTCAGTAAATCAAGCTCTTGAGACCATTGGTGTATCTCCAATCACACGCAAAAAACTTGGAAAGAAGAAGTACCAACAGAGCAAGCTGAAAGCCATTGGAAGCCGTCTTCAATCACAGCTTGGTATAGAACAGGTACCACAGCCAAAGCCTCAGAGGAAATGTTGGAACAGTTGAAAGAAAAATTTGCTACAGCTACCAACAGCGAGAAACTTCAGATTCTCACACTCCGACCGAAAAGCTGGAGTATTCACCAAACAATGCAGGAGTTTCAAACTAGTGATTGGATGGCAATTGTTCATTTTTTAAAAAGACTACTTTCATGTACATTTAAGAATGTTGTAATGATTTCACGTGGAATAGAATCGTGCTCATCTTCCTGGCAAAAAAAGAGCCAATTAGGTCTATTGAAACAGGCTCCGGTATACTTATTCAAAGAGTAAACACATGGTTGGAGCTGTCAAGTTTGTAATCATGAATGTTCCTGCTTGATATTTGTTAAACTGACCCTAAGTTAACATCATTTCTGTTTTTGTTTTCTTCATATGCTCTGTCTGGAATTCTCTCTTCACCCAATCCACGAAGCGGAAACACTGTGGACGCTGATGTTGTCAACCAAGTAAAGTCATTTTACAAAAGTGATGAAATTAGCAGAATGCTGCCTGGCACAAAGGACAAAGTTTCCATCTGAGAAGGTGACAGAAGGGTTAACTATCAGAAACGGCTGATTTTGTGTAACTTAGATGAAGCTTACAGGGCATTTGAGGACAAGTATCCAGAAATGAAAATCGGCTTCTCTAAATTTGCTGACCTAAGGCCCAAGTATTGTGTTTTGGCTGGTAGTACAAACTGCAGTGGTACCCATTCGGTGTGTGTCTGTACAGTCCATCAAAATGCAAAGTTGATGATGCATGCCCTTGACATCCCCACTTTTGAATATCCTACAAAACCCTACTCGCTGAAATTACTTGTAATCCTGGCTTTACAGACTGCTTCCTAGGAGACTGTGCCTCATGTCCTCAGGTTGAAGAAACAGAAGATGAGGCTATTGGTGAAATATGCTACAAGCAGTGGATATCAATAGATATGTTAATATTGGAAACCATGACGGCTGGAGTTGATGAATTCTGTGATGGGTTTTTAGAGAAGCTGTTTCGGTTGAAGCGACATGAGTTCATTGTGGATCAGCAGGCAAAATTCCTGGGTCATCTGAAGTCAGAGTTGCAGCCTAGTGAGATTATTGTTCTCGGCGACTTTTCAGAAAATTATGCATTTGTTGTTCAAGATTCATCACAGGGCTTTCACTGGACAAATGAACAAGCAACACTCCATCCATTTGTAATCGACATAAGGGACATTCAGCTTTCCCATTTCAACTTTATTGTAATTTCAAATCACCTCACTCCAACACAGTCTACTGTTTCTAGCGAAGGCTGCATAATACCTTGCAGACACAATGCAAGCACCAGTCCACAAAGTGTACCACTTCTCGGACCGATCCTCTACATCAGATGATTTTTCATCTGATGCTAAGCGGCATTTCTTTGTCACGTCTCATGGCAAAGTACCTTGTGATGGATTGGGTGGAACTGTAAAGCGTTTGGCTTAAGCCAGTCTGCAGAGGCCCTACAAAGATCAAATCTTAAATGCACATCAGTTCTATACGTGGGCAAAGGTCAATATTCCAGGAATACATTTCAATTACGTGGATACAACCGAAATGGTACAGTGTGAAGAATTCCTGGAGAACAGATTCTCATCAGCAGTGACTATCAAGGGCACTAGACAGCTGCACGCATTCTCTCCACATCCACTTCTGCGATCACACCTTCTAGTGAAACACATTTCATCAGAAATTAGCACGAAGTGTGTGAGAATCATCAAAGAAATTTAAGGTAAGTAATATAATGTTCCATCGTTAATATAGCGATTAAAAGGAATATTGATTGCGACATTGTGTAGTTTAAAGTGGTTTTGTAAGAACAGACCATCTGCGGTTACTAATAACTTCGGTTATTTCATTTCAGGAGCATTTGGTTTGGCAGAACTTCTACCGTTGGAACTTCAAAATTCTTACTTTGTGGATTGACATAACCATAGAAAATGGCCATAACCTTTTTTGATTTTAAAGTGCCCAGAAAGATTTGAGTGGGTACTACTAGAGAAGGAACCATACTTTCGAAAACATTTTATTTAAAATAAAATTAATGATACTTTTTTTAAAGTGGGGTCAAAGGTCACAGGTATATGTCAAAGGTCATCATGACCCTTGATTCATAAAACCAAATTTTCACATTACCAGTGAAAAAAGCATGTATTTTCAATTATTTTGCTATTAAATTTGTAAATATTTGATGAAATTTTGAACCTTAAGTTTCATTTTCACTTAAAAGGCAGATTTTTAAGTTAAAACTGTCCATTTTTTGGACATCTGCCCCGACCACATGGAAGGGTGGATTCCTCTAAAAATTGGCATGTATCTATCTTTCATTGGTGTCTACAATCACAGCAATTTTTATAAAAATCTGAAGACCTAAGGTCAAAAGGTGTGTTGTTCTGACATGGAATGACCCTTACATAAACAAGTATATTACTCATTGAATTCCTTCTTTCTTGATACAGTATTCTAGCAGCATCAAGGTCGAGCAGCTAGATTTGGTAATTCTGGATCAAATATTTATACAGAAACCCTTAACAATTGCTAAATGGGAAGACTGAAAGAGAAAACTTCTAAAAAATGCTGCCTTGCATGTGGCATCCTGACATTTTGTTCTCAATAAACCTACATGTATCCCCAGCAGTGCTGCTTATCATATAGAAGTACAAATATTGCAACAAGTACTATTTTTTTATTAGTATCTTTGGGACACTTGGACAAAGGCTTGTGTTTCCAAAATTAATAAACATCCACAATCTTTATTCTCAGTGAGTGAGTACTGTCACTGAAGTACAAGTACTGTCAAAAGCCATCAAATTTTGAATGATTACATGGCCTACTAGGGAGGGCATTTTTGGGGATCTTGTTATCAACGATGGCTGTCTGGTGCTGCCAGGACTAACAGCAAGATTTCCAGATGATCTTTGGAAATCGTGGCAATGTAATGTCCTGTGCTTGGAGAGGATTGTGGATTGGAGTAAGCTGCCATGGAAAACTTCATCTGTGCTGTGACCAAGGGCTCGCTCTACTCCTTTGCCTGGAGAAAGCTGTCATCACTTTCTTGGAAGGGTTGAGGGTCTGGCTCAAGCCTGGCCGTCGCTTTCGCTTCAACTGTTCCCCATCATTACCATCCTCTTCCGCCCCTTGCTCGGTCCATAACCCCTGATCATAAACCCCCCTGGTTTGCACCGGATAGCCAATCCTACTGTTCACTGCCGGATCGTTGCTCATCCCCTCTGCCTGGCTGCTTGGGGCCAGCATTGTGGGGATGTCGCTGTCGTGGGCAAACTTGCAAGTGTGTCCGAAGCGGCACCTGCCTTTTCGGAACTTCCAACAGATTGTCTTCTTGCCCCCAAGCTCTGCCTCCTTCCCCTGGGTTGAGGTGAGCTTGACGTGCTGCTCTAGAATGGACAGTTTGTGCTGCTCTGCCTGCTCAAATGGGTTAGCATAGATGGAGGAGGACGCTGGCCCTGCTGTTGTCCCCAGCGGTCTGTGTTGGATATCCGTCCCAAACGCACTGGGCAGAGGCAACTTCTCCAGCTCTTTGTCACCCGCGGTATTTGTCTTTGTCTTGGAAGACGTTGTGCTAGTCCTTACTCCTTTGACATCCCCATCACTGTCTGCATCACTGTCTGATTTGTCACCAGTGCTGGCGAGTAGATTTACTCCTGCTGGTGGCTGCAAGCTACAAGACAAAATTTCAAGGCATTACATGTATTTAAATTTTAAAATAATTCTGCAAAGAAAAATTATTCCTTGGTCTTAACTTTCAAGTGAATATAAGCATTTCTTCAGATAAATCATGCTAATGTTATCCAACTGCTTCAGTTTTTAATAGTTTGAGACCAATTTTTGTTAAACCACAATAATGACAAGGCAGGGTAGGCCTAGGCCTAAGTGAATGAACAATTACATGTATGATGTAAATTAGCATCCGTGATTAAACAGTCGCTAAGTCCCTAATTTCAACAACTTTTGGGAAATCTGGCTGGTTTGTTTTCAGAATAAATGGCAATATTTGGGGCATGGAGTCTACATGGTCACTGAACCACGTTTTAATCATTGATGTTTACTGTATGTATTTGATTACTGGGGCCAGTCAGTTACATCACCTACTTCCAGAACTGTAGGTTTATACAAACCTTACAGTTAGCTACATATATGTGAAAACTCACATAAACACATTTTGGCTGTTTTGATTGTGCCAACTTACTCTGCCATCACAGTTATTTGTGCAACAAAATTTCAAACATGCCGTCTTGGTGAAGCTAGATGTCTGATGGGGAGGTTTATTCAGGGGCCTATATCCTCATTAAAAAAATGGTGAAATTCTTGAACTTGAGCATTTTTTTTATTTCACCCATCCACACTACAAAAAATCAGCAGCATGTACTCTCAATCACTGTCAGCTGCATGGCAGTTTGATCAGTTGCAATACATACATGTATTACTTAGGCCTACAGCTCCTATCTTTTCCTTCTTGTTTTCCTGTCACCATGGTCACCCAGATAAAAGTCACATTGTGATGGGCCCAATTTGCTTCCATTCCAATGACCAATCATAACTCAGCTTTCATTTTGATGGGGTCAGGAAATCAAAAAAGAAAAGATAGGAGTTTGCACATAGGTCTGGCAAGTACAGCACAATCTGGAAGTATTGTAGGCCTGGTTTAGGCCATAACATTCATGAAAGTTAGCCTGCATGCCAAGCACCGGGAACCGGCCCTCAAATCGTCCAAATCGGTTTAGTCAGCGAAATGTGGTCTTTTGACTGAAGAATTTAACCTAAATAATGAACAAAATAGTAACGATTCACTGAGTTACCCTCTCTCCACTTGCTGAGATTTCTCCGATGAAGTTTCCTCCTCACTTTCTGCATCAGACGACCCATAATCCGCAACCAAAATCGAGGAAGCCATTTTATATGGCGCCCTCTCGAGGGCCAGGGAAGTCGATAAAAAACCGTGGGTCCCTACCGTACCTTCACGTACAGTATCTTTCAATTATAGGCAAAAGAATGATAAATCACTTTAAAAGAGGAGCCATACAAAGAAAAACTAAACTCTTTTCGAGTTGTCCGTTATAGGCTCCTGAGAAGAGTGGAAATTTCACTCGGTTGCCCTCTTATTCGATTAGTTTTTACTCTTTTTAAAGTGGTTTTCACTCTTTTGGAGTGTTGTAGAACTCACTCTTTTTGAAAGTGAGTTTTTCACTCTTTTGCATGTAGAAAGGCTACCCTATAGCAGCGCTGATGGTATTTTTTTTTCATTCAACAGGGGATCCTAAACAACAGGGCCTAGGGACCCCAATTCACCGAGAGTTCCCGATTGACAACAGTATACATGTAAAGTGCAAAACATCATGGGAGCGGGTCTTGAACAAAAGAGGAACAATTGGCTGTCCCCAACGGGCGATTCATGAAATATGCAAATAAGGCAGGCCATGTGCATAACTACCACTGGCTAGCAAAGTTGCAAGCATGACGAAGGTACCCATACATAAAACACGGCCCCTTGCACAACAACTACGGTTGAATGGGTTACTGTGTAAAAGCAACCTAAATAAATAATAATAATAATAATAACCTCAGGACACTGAAGACGTCATTTAGTTTCAAGAAAATCGTGCTGAAGTATCTGAAAAAGGCTGTCCTAGGCCTATACGGTTTTGATTGACCTCCAACGCGCCAGGTTAAGGTTAGAGTGTTCCTAACTCTAGGATTAGTGCAGATCTACACTGTTGACAATGTTAATGTTGGCGGCCGCTCTTGCAAACTAGTGGTAGTAGCTTGTCTAACTTGCGTATTTCATGAAAGGTCATCCATAGTGCGCCTCCAAGATCAAGTTTACAACGCGTTGACCAATCACAATGCGCGAAATTTGTCGATCCAATTCACATTTGGAAAGGGTCGACAGATTTCGGGCATTGTGATTGGTCAACGCGTTGCAAACTCTTGGACTCTGATCTTCTGTATTAAACTGTTTTTCATTTCTGTTCCACTTGGAACTTATCTGAAAATTTAATCCTGTCTGACACGCTGGAGTCTCGAGAGGGGCAAATTGCAGTAAGGCCCAATTTCAGCCAAAATAGTGAGTTTAGTGCATTTTTTGCATTTTGCATGTGACAACAGGGTATTCATTTAAGCACAATACCGGCCATAGTCATTTTTAGACTTCATTCTTTTTAAACACTACTTTTTGTTATTGTAATCTCTAATTAAAAAAACCATAATTGTACAATTATCACAGTGCCCAAAAATTCTTTGTGCCCTCTTCTAGAATTTGAAATATCAGCGTCACATTTTAATGTATGTATGTACACTGGATTGGGGCTATTTAAAATACTAGCAGTATGCTTGCTTTACAGCCCATGTAACGGCCAACTTGAAGGAGACTCTCTCTGTTGGAGTATTTGCAGCTTAGTGTACTGGAATGAATGCTTCAGTTCCACAGGTTGGTTTGATCCTTAAAACCTCTACCAGCTTACACGCCTCAGTGCAGTTTCCCCATTGGGTTGACCATGACCGCGGGGGGGGGGTGATGCTTATGATACAGCTGAACATCTGTAATTATGCTTGACACTCCTGCAGAACATGGCATCAAAACGGCGTGTTTATTGCTGTTAAAAGTTTTCCCTTTTAAGTGCTGTTAAATACTTGTTGATTGTTGGGAAGGCTGAAAAATTCTCCACAATCTGCCCAGATTGTGTTACCTCATGAAAAACAGGGGGGGGGGGTGAAGCAACTGCCCATTCCTCTGGTCAAAAAGTGTGGGAGGGGATACACTGTATGAATGTATCCTATCCCCAAGATTTACATCCATGGTAAAGCCAAAAACGAATGGGTGATGTAGATTCCGATATACAATAAACTTAACTTTTCTTCCCACCAACAGGACCTGGGTGAGTACCGAGGAAACGAAGAATGAGCTATCAACTGGAACCAGCTTCACGGCGGAAATAATCTCCATGAGAACACCACGTCCTTCCCGTACGCCAAGCAGTCAATCTAATTCATCGGACAGTCAGCCTGCCAGACCTACCAGGAAGCAAACCACACCGAACACGCACAAGACCACACCAGCAAACGGAAGCTGTGACAGACAAGGAAACAGGACACAAGTGAACGTACCAGCCATCGTGCTGGGAATCGTTCTGTCAGTAGTACTCCTGCAGATCTTTCTACTGGTGTTCCTCTGGCGCCGCGGAACACTAGCAAAGCTGATTATAAATTTAAAGCCCTCGTAAGTTTGTTAAATGCTTGTGGTTCATCATTAGCCTTTACTTAAACAAACCAATGCTGATTGTAATTTGGTCAATGTTTTCACGCAGAAATAGTCAGCTGTGGCAAACATCTCAACGTCAAAATTAAACGAAAAGACGTAATACAAGCGGAACAGTTAAACACAAATTGTGTCCTCAGTTACGGTCGAGACTTTGCACAAGAATCAAGTCTTCCAACGATATCCCCAATTATTAGATCGTGCCCGTTTGCTAGTGCGCAGTATTCACTGCTGGAAGTTTGAACGGAGAAGTATCAGTTGATTACTATCAATTTTGATTATTTCTGGGGTACCTCGCAATTGGTAGTAATATATATTATTATTACCATTTTTTATTCACGCAAAAAGAAAAGTAACTCACAAGGTGCTGAGGTGATGGGTAAGTATTTTCAAATTATTTTCAGGCTCAAGACAAATGTTCTTCGCAAGGGAATTCAAAATGGTACACAAAACTCATTGGATACAGAGCTCTTAATGTACTGAAATAAGACGACGTCCACAATGACACAAATGACATTAACAACGACACGGACAACAACAGCCACGAAAATGACATACTTTGTTACATTCTAGATTCCACAAGAGCACCTCCTTCCGCACCTCTGCAACCAATCAGCAAAGACAACGCGTACGGTCATTTACCGAGGGGCTCAAACGAGCTAAATACGGCAGAACCTGAGAGCGCGAAATCCACGGACGAAGTGGGCAAATACCACTGTATAGACGAATCGGGCGACAAACAGGCGATTGACCGCTACATGAAAAATGGGCGAGGGTGCCTCCCTGCAGTGAAGGCTCAAGCTGGGGTTGGACAAACTCCGGAAATCCCGAGAGACCACGGATGTCTTCAGGTGGATGACACCGAAGCTGCCTCTACGGACCCGCACTACTGTGCCCTCGAGAGTCCAAGCTATGAAGAACGTCTGTATACTCCTCTAAAACAACAACAAAAGGATTCTGAAGGACAAGAACCAACCACTTGAAACGACAGCTCCCATGCGTACGACCACCTCAACGTGGCTGTAATAGGCCAAAGCGCGAAAGAGGGTGCGCACTCCAAAAAGGCATCTGGTTACGAGGAGGTCACTGCCTTGGCACCAGGCGATAATGACGCATGTGAAGCATCCCTATATGATCACCTCGGTAGAGTGGCAGGCAAACGTATTAATACAGGTGCCCCATCGAACATAGACGAAGGTGGTGACTACCAACATCTCGATAACAGTCCTGGCTACGACCATATCACATTTCAGGACAGCAAAATGCCTTAAATTAAGCAGAAATAAAACGAAATAATACACACAACCAACAAAACGAAAACGCAACCTAACAACAGCTTCAACAAACATTACCACCTCCAACCAACCACAACATATGGCAACCAAAACGACGGCTAAACGTCTTTCAGTTTAAGTCAAAATATGACCATTCCCTCGAGGTACCATGAAGGCCAAAATATTCGCTAGAAGATCCCAATCATATCTACGCCTTCAGCGAACAAAATGCAACCTGTTCTATAATGGCCATACAGACTTGTGAATTTGAAAAAAAAAAAAAAAAAGATCGCACACGATCGCACTAAAGCTAATTTGTCTGTCGTATCATATTGTTCCTGCACCGGGTCCAAATCATAGTGTTTCATTATATAACATATATGTTTCTTGTCTGTTTAAATCAGCTCTGTTTATGAAAAAAACTCCTTGTGACAGCATCACGTCATATACAAATCCCGCACACTGAAGAGACTGATTTTGTACAGAAAAGATCACCGAACTTTAAAATGAGTTGTTTGTAATGTTCGCAAAATGTGTGTATGTTTATTTGCTGAATTTGTGTTTATCGTCAATCAAATTATCTATGTACCCGGCCCTTCAGCTTCATGAAGTGAGAGCCAGTTTTGATGAATATTCTTTCGATGTCAAGGTCACCCCGAAGAAAGGACGAAAATGAGAGAAGTTCTTGACAACGTCTTAAAAAGTGAAAGGTTTTGAAATGACGGGTATATTAGAAATCTTATTTGAGTACGTAAATAGGTGCATTGATTTGGACTTAGGTTCATTGTTTCCTTTGACAAATTTTCAAATGTTCCTTTAATTCTTCTTAAATCTAAAATACACAGGATCAGCGCAAATGTTACGAAAAACAAAATAAATGACTGTGTTCATATTTTTACATTTATGATGCCCCTGTACATAGAACAGTAGGTGGAAAATTGTATTAAAATTTAATTGCACTATTTCTGAAAATTCTATAAAAAGCTTCATCAATTTTTAAATCGTGTTTTCTGCATCATATCTATTATTTTGTTATGAAATGAAATAAGCTTTATCTAACTCATCTGTTTCCAGGCAAAACCTGCATGGCGTTTTATATATTTGATGCAATTATGACATATTTTCATGTAATGGTTTCGTCTTCCAAACAGTATTTTACGCTGATACCGTATGCACTCTACAAGGAAATAGTATGGAAGGAAATACTGAGCATGAAACCAGGGTGTAATTGAAATGGATTCAGCCAGCCGTGCTCCTCTCACATTCGTAGGGTTTGTTATTGCGAATAACTTTCTTTGAGAACCGGTGAAGTACAAAACCTGTGCGCAACAAATTCTAAAGGGGAAAAGTTATGGGCTGATGGTTATTGTTTATTCAAATCCAAAACGATCAGGGAAATGGCGAGAGAGCATTATATTCAGAATTTCGGGTTATATAGTATGCAGGACCATGTTTAAGTACGGTGTTGACTCATGAATTCTCTCATGCAGCCAAACTAAATTTCAACCTATGAAACATGTACCTTTATGGGTGAATAATAAACTTAGTTTTCATTAAAATCACTACATGTGATAAAGAAAGAGTATTCTGTAACTAACCCAGCCGTGAACAGTCACAACGACACATGTTCCACGGCTGATCGGGGGAAATGACACGATAGCCTGTTGTTTTATCCATAGTCGGCCTGATAGAATTTCCCCATTGTACCCAAAGACCGTATTGAGTGTAATGTTAGTACGATTGCATAGCATAATTTGAAGTTGTAATTTTCAGTTGTATTTGTCTGCGATTACATAGTGAATTGAAATATCACACCTGCATGAATGAGTTTAATAATGGAAATTTACTTTTTGTCATATGCCATCATTGTTTCGCTTACATGCAAAGGTGAATCTTGGGTAGATAAGACAGCATTGGTGTTGATAAAACAGGAAAGAGACATGTGAAAATGATATTAATGACAGATGTACAGGCTGATAGCTGGTTATGAAAATATTTCCTGCCGCACTTCGCAGGAATGCCGAGTTGCTCGGTTCCTGTAAATATGAAATGAAGAGTGAAACTCGGTTCCTTTTTAATGCCATCATACTCAGCCAACGGAAGCAGGTCAATTCACTTCAGGACAAGCATGAACTGAGAGCCTTCTTTTAGTCCTTCGGTCGACCCCACCGCCCTTGCAGGGCGCTGGGACGGGTTAATGCCGTTAAAAGGTTTTGTTAAGAGCAGCCGTCACAAAGTCTAGTGGGTGATTTGCTACCTTAATGCATGCTATGCGCACGGGTCATGCGCACGAGGCGTTGTTTGAGATAAATTGTGTCCAATGGAGATTCGAAACAATTAGGCCTACTTCGTGGGGCACTGAGAAATGATCCCATCCCATTTTGCATGACATTGGGGTCGAGCAAACAACTAGTACGTGTCCCGCTACCGATATTTTCAGTGTTAACTTGCAACAGACGCCAGACCCGCATATTTCCACATCGAATAACTGCATAATGACAAAGTTAGTGTGCCGCACGCGTGTTTCACCAACCATTAGATAAGACAGTCAGTAAATATTAAACCACTACATTAGCAGTAGTAAGTAAATAAAAGACAGCGGGTGTGTACTCGAATAAAATAAAACCGCAAGATAGAATGGAAAAGCATAGTAAAACCATTTGAGGTTCTAAGCCTTAAGTGGTTTTTCCAGGCAGCAAAATAGCAGAGGCCTATGAAGCTCAGTTTTTTTGGCAGGTATGTTTTCCGAACCGCTACTGGCGCACATACTTCAGTGATACTTGATATTCTACATCTGCATCGCAAGGCAAATTACCTTTATTGGAACCCAAGGTGAATTTGGTCTACTAATCCGAGAATATGGGCCCGGTAAAGGCAAGAAGCATTCCAATGCTAGGCTTGATTATTACCACGATCGTCCTCTCAGGCTGTGGTGTGCTATGGACGGCCTGCAGTGCACAGACTACGCCACAAGAATCGCCAGAACTGTTGGTCCGTCTGAGAGAGCACTTCTGCACAGATGCCGATGCAAGGTATCTTTCTCTTTCCGTTTCTCAGTTCCCATGGTCAAGGGACATATTTAGCCATGTATATGCGATCAAGTGTATTCACACACGGTTCCTGATCCTGAGGCCTACTTAAATAATTCTTGATATGATATAAAGAAACAAAGATGTGGATAACACAAATGTATTATCAAAGTTCCATATCATGCATCCCTAAAGTATTTGCTTTAGGGTAATAGATTCATATACTGATGAATAAAGTGACAAAACTCAATTCAATTTCAATATGACTTTTTTCGATATTGGTTAATATCAGGAAGAGTAAACAATAACGGAACAAATATATAAATCGAGAGATTATTATACAGTAACAAAAACGAGAAATACATATTAAGTATAGGAAAAAACAAAATCGGTGCAGGACAGTTTGTAAATGGCCACTTCATGAATTTTACTCAAAATTTCAAACTTCTTTGGGAATAAAAGAAAGTAATACGATTGGTATGAAAATAATAATAATAATAATAAAAACTGGGAGGCAAGTTGCCCTCACTGCCCCCCTCGTGCTGGATACGCCACTATAGGTTCGACAATGAGGCCTAGTCATTTTCACCATCTTACGCCGTTGTCAGATATCCGCTTGTTTGGTATATACAGTACACATTTCTGATTAATGACGCTGTCTTTCTACTTGGTACGATGCAAAGAATGTAATTACGCGCAACATTACAGAGAACATATGCTTTAAGTCGGCCGCGTGAGGAAGATTTAGGCCTATGTTTGATGTTCTGCTCGAACGGGACATGATACCGGGGAAATCAGGAATGTGGCTTCAACTTCGCATTCCAATTGATCTAAAGTATTTGACGCCACTTTTCACGGCCAGGAGCACATATCGAAACGCCTCCACGGGTTAAATTCATACTTTTCAAACTGAGAAAGATTCTGCTAGAATCGAAACGTCCCACCCTCCAACCGTTTTTCTTTTCGATTTGTACATTATAGGTCACTGTATAGCCAGCAACCCTTTTTCTAGTGTTTTAAATTTCTACAAAATGCCATTGTTTTTGCAGTTCATGTAAGGTCCAGGGAGATACCATTTGTGCCGGACTTTGCACTACTGATCTAGATCAGTGGTTCTCTTGCGCCACTACGCTCTCCGTCACAGGTAGGTTTATCCATCTTTGAACCTCATTGTCCTCAGTCATCAGACTGAGTTTGAATAAGCTTCTTTCATCTCCTTCTACAGTTAGAAAATTATGAATCATTGCTGGTGCCACTCATTAGTCATTCGATCTTTTCATACTGCGACTCCTTCTATCAACTCGTGTTATAGTTTTTTTTTCATCTCAATTCAAGTACTGCTGTGACATTCTTCCTTACGAGTACGGAGGTTACAAATCGTTCAGTTTTTCAAAATACTGCAGTCGCCCGACGCTTATTTAGGACACATAAAAACCCAAACTAATTCAGCTACTATAAAAAAGAATCAAATTAATAACGTGCCAATATTGGAGACTAATCATCCATGCAACGCAAATTCAGTTTAATAGCTTATAAATCTTATAATTTCACTTGCCGAAATGACAACAAATTCATCCCACCCGTTTATGCCTTCTAGCTCCGGAATTATGCAGGGACACGAATCAAGTTCTGCAATGTCCCTACAGCGATGGCATATTATGCTTGTATGAGGATGGACGAGGTCTGTGCGTGTACTCCTTAGCAACACAACCGTTTTGCATCTGTGGCGAGGGAGATGAAATTTTCACTTCCCCGATTGCTTCAGACAGTCTCATTCCAAGGTAACTCTTGGCTTTGCTGTTAAAAGGATATAGATTCAATGTTTAGTTTCCTGCCTTTTACAAAATCTATACAACAAATGGCCAAGACGAAAGAAGGCTGGTGTCCACGTGATATATAATGAGAAACCGTATCAATGACTGAGGACATCTTTGTACAGCGTTATCTATAACCTCCTGTTAAACCACGGAATCGATTCATTTTTCTACACTACGACAGCCAATGTCTCCCCCCAGATGAGACGATTGACGAACCTTCTACTGAACCCACCCAAAACGAACAAACTACGCTGACATCACAAACTCCTTCGACGATGCCTGACGGTCAGCCCAGTACACCGGTACAGCCCGACGCACCAGGCACCAAGGCACCAGGCTTTGTGCACACCCCGGCCGCGGTAGACGGACACGCTACCATTCAGCTTCCAGCTTCAGTTACAACCGCCGCTCCCTCCACGACACCAGAAACTTCCACCGACGTGACAGTCATCGTGGTAGTAATCGTCCTGGTCATACTGCTCCTGTTGATCCTTCTTTTGGTGTTCCTCTGGCGCAGTGGAAAACTGGCAAAGCTGTTTAAAAAGCCTTCGTAAGACCTTGGTTTAATACTTGTCTTAATTTGTATATTACCCCTCTTCGTAAGGTGGTAAGCATTTATTCTAGTAAGCACCGTCCCTACTGCGTGCAAACGAAGTGGAAAGACTAAGAGCAAGCCTCCTTTCGAAATTATTAGTATGTGTCCACCAAAACACGAATGCTACCATCGCTAACTTCTTTAAAATTATTAAGTCTTCCTGGTGATAATGCCAACGATTCCCCTCAAAAGTGCTGTAGGCACAGTATAGTAGTTCTTAATTCCGAAGAAACATGTAGAGAGGAGACAGAAGTAGTAGCTTGAGAGGTGGGAGGACAACCCCAGAAGAACGTTCTGGGTAAAACCCACAGAATCAGGTCGGGACTGAAAAGCCAAGCCACATGTGGACTGAGCCAGGAATCCAACCGGGCCACAAGCGCTACGCCAACCTGACTCCCCTGTGGACTGTCAGCACAAAGGCAAATATTTCGACACAAGTTTGCGAGTTAATTCATCACGTACCGCATGCCTCGTATTAAATTCATATCCACCTTGAAAACAAACAGGGAGAGAGAAAACAGAGGAGACATCTTCTTGCCAGTTCCCAAGTGAAAGGATTTTAGGTAAACGGAATGAATGACAGCATCAACTTGAATTGCTGTCAAAGATATGAGACAAATTTTTCCCAAACCAGGCTCAAAGTAGCTCATTCTAATGTTTGAAGATTCCTCTCTTTTCAGTTTTGTAATTTTCATGTTTCAAAGTGGTCGACGGCGCAAGTTTTGTCCGCAGAAGGGCTTTGGTATTTACGGGCAGGGAAAGTTGTTAAATTTGCATTGATATGTGAATAGTTGTGTCATCTTGTCCGCTAATAGTGAGAAAGTCTTGTTTTTGAATGTTTAGTCACTTATTTCTAAAGCCCCGTTTACTTGGTTGTTAAAAAAACTTTACTGCTTTTTGTGCACACACAGGAATGAAAGTTATACACCAGGCGTTCCGATGAACTAGGTAGGTATTTTGAAATATGGGTGACTATGTCGAATCGTAGAAGTATTTTTATGATAAACATCTACAGGAGGAAGTAATGCAATCGCAAACTGTCGCCGCAAATTTCACAAACGAAACTGAGTACACTTTGCATTACATTTTCAAAGTGACTTTTAATATTATTAACACAAAACAAGGACACAAGCAGCGTCACAAATGGTACTCTTTACATCAGCGGTGATGAAAATAAAGACACTGCTTTGGTGCTTTGTTGGTTTCTAGATTCTAAGAGAGAGCGAGATATCCTTCCCGTATCATCGCTGCCTAGCCATTGACTAGAGGGATGCCATGAGCTTAATGTATGCATGGTGGAGTAGAGAAGCGTGCATGATGAAGACCATCAAGAAGATTACATGGACGAAATGTACAACAAACAAGTGACTGACCGCACCTTGATAGATGAACGGGTGCCCACATCGGAGAAATGTGCAGGGTTACGACTCTCTTACATTTTCTACCAGCAATAAATGAAAACGCTCTTAATAAAAAGGAAAGTACACATCAAATATTTGTGTCTAAGTGCCGATATTATCGGTCGCTGGTTTGACTTGAGTATGTAATTCTACAATCTTTTTCATAAGTTTCAAATTAAATCTAACTTTTTTTTGGCAATACAAAGTATGAATAGCATGCACATAATAAAGAGCAACGTAGGCCTATGTGGAGGTGTTTACACATTATAAAGAACAACATAGGCCTATGTGGAGGTGTTTACGTATATATTTTTTACCATTGCTTATGGACTGAATTGCTATCTTTATTTATAGTGAAATATAAATACACTGCATTCTGAAATGTTTTTTTCTCATCAAACTGAGTAACGTATAGAACTGTAATCTGTATAGTGAATCTGTTTCATGTTGGGCAATACCAGACTTGATTCTGTTATGAGGCACTCCATATCCATGAAAATGAGAACACATTCGGGTGATATTTTTGTCTGTGATAACGTATATTAGTGTTAAAGGTATACCTGTGCGCCATACTCTCCGGAGGGTGGAACCCCCCTAAAAAAAGGAATCGGTATAAGGTAATATTGGGCTTCAGATTATACAGAAAGCTTAGGTCCTCTCTATTACATTCATTTTCATAAATCTTCAAGGGTACCTTTTGTTTGTTTCAATACAAATTTCAAAAATGAAGTTTTACGTCTCAGTTAGCCTTATTTCCATCTTTTGTTTCACTATTCCAAACGGCATTTTACTGCCTTTTTGGTTCTTTATGCTAATGAAAATTCCATATTCATGAGCAAAACGGTGATGTCATCCCAGGAAGAAATCTCAATCTTACATTGGTTTGTACACAAACAAGTGGTGCATTTTTGTAGATTTTTCAGAACTTGATTTTCTCTTATTTGCTGATTGCTTGTTGTTCATGTGCATAGCAATAAGCAAGCATCAATCCCTTTCTCTGAAATGTTTTCAGTATAGGTTCACAATACGAACAGAAAAACCTATGCACTGAGCTATATCTTCCTCAGTTGTCCAGAAAAGTATGGATAATTCTAAAAGTATTCAAAAGTGCACTTTTTGATACCTTCGCAGAAATACTGTGTCAAAGAAATGTTCATTGCAGCTCCACTTAAACATATAACCGTAAATGCTTTGAAATACAAAGTACACTATAACAACACTTATAAAAGAAATTTACAGGAAATATTCTTTTTCAGAGTTGTGCCAAAATTACACGAAGTACACACTTTTTGCATTACTTTGCGAGTTGTCAATCAACAAAAACGATTAGCAGCAAACAAAAGGGAGATGTTACTGTTTTTTTGGACCGGGGCAGTCTGAAATTGGGAGTGTATGGGGTCCGTAGGCTGCATTGCGCATGCCTGCCTGGACAAACGCATAGCAAAGTTTGGTCAAGTGTTAGGAATAGGCTCAAGATATGGTACAACAGACTCCATTTTGTTTCAAAGGGTTCGCAAGTTCACGTGATATTGACACCGGTTGCAGTTGACGTGTTATGCACATGTGGCTTCTTTTTTCTAGGAAATACCAAACCGGCAAACACCGGGACGTTCGCCCTAAATAGCATGACGAAGTTCCAGAAATGGGACCGGCAGTAGTCTTATGGACTGTATTGTTATTCAAATCTGAGCCAACCACGGAAATGTCAAAAAATCATCATACGTGGAGTTAGCCGGTTTCAATAACGTGCACAGCAAATGCACGCACGATCCGGACTCTTCAAGTCGTTCATTATGTGGTTATGTGGCTTCAGGGTGTAGAATAATATGCACTGCACTGAATTACTAGAATAATGTGAACGAATCAAAGCGAATTATCATTACTTATTTATAGCCAGTGTCATAAATTTGCGAAGATATTCGTACAGTGCGACATCTTAGTTCCATGGGTTATAATTCGTTCGCAGTCCACAGCCATAAGAAACTGTTGAAAAGCCACAACCCTACAAAATCTACACATTGCAACTGCACTTCGTTATACAAGCCTACCATATGGAGGCACACCAGGATTGTGCATATTGGGAACTTGAGCTACGAGAAGACAAAAGAGAAGAGACGTAAGTACCAGCAGCTTCGACAACAGCCATAAATCCAGATGAGAAAGTCATAAAAAATTATGAAGAAGACTCGGTGATTTAACTGAATATTTCGCGATCCATACGGCCCTTCAAGGTTGCCTAATTGACAGTGACAATGCTGGTTATGAAAGTTCAATATGTCCTTTAACGGGTCAAAAGTATGTCGCGCTGTCAGCTTATATCCCGGACAGTGTCCTCCTATCATTTTTCATATCAGTGTGGTTTTTAACGGGGCTACATCTGAAAGGGCGCCTCCTATTTCCATAAGTCTGGGGCGACGGCGAGTACAGTGCCGTCGCCGCGACGACGAAACGTAATTTTATGTCCTCTTTAGAACACCATAGTTTTGTTCAAATTAACTGGATGAGAGCAAATCTGCCACCAAATGTACGACGTGTAATACCTGTAACTACATGCTGCGGTTCCAACAGAGCAGAATATTCCACATTGACTTTTCTGTCCAAAAATTATATCCATTTGAAATTATAGTCTAACATTCTTTCAGCTATGATCCCGTAATTACTGAAGACCTTCAACCAATTAAACGTGATGGTACAGGTAGAAAGTGTCAACTACAGATTAAAGAAGAGCTTGAATGGCATAAACATTATACAAAAACCTCTTCGCTGAAAAAGTAATCAATCTAAATAAGCAACAGCCACCGTCCATCTCTCCACAGTGGGGCAGTCACATCGAATTTTGCAACCTCCAGCTTGTAATATTAACATGAATGAGACAGTCGTGTGTTTCATTGATATTTTGTTGCATAAACCGACGAAATTAACGTGATTACAGCGACTAGGAAACATCGAAGCGAAACTCCAGGGAAGGGCTTCAGTGGAACTTTGATTGAAATTTTGCTCCTGATTCACTGCCACTGACGGTCAAAATAAAGCTGGGCTTACATTTTTGGGAAAGGGTTGCTCGTTTCCATGAACTTACACGGCAATGAATCAGCAGAGAAAACGAAACTTTGGTAAGTAAATTATAAAAACAATCAGCAATTCTATTTGTGCACAACTTATCAATGCGGCACTGAGGTTTTTTCAGGAAAGACGTCACAATTCTGCTGAATCAGATGAATGTGTAAACTCGTTAGCATAAACCAAAAACGGGCACCAAAATAGGCTATACCCTACAGCAAGACAGAAAAAGAACGAAAAAAATTTGGTGCATTCATCAAGGGCTGTATTTTAGGAAAAAAACCCGTTGTACACCGCATTACCCTTTAATTGAATATCGGGAGAAATTCCCTTCATCAACCTTGCTCATCCTTGAACAGCGGACAACCACAGAAATCCGTTGTTATTCGTGTAAGCTGTATTGTTTAGTTAAAGCTTTCGTCACTGGGATATTTTGGTCTGCATTTCTACAGTACAAGTAAATTTTCTCATGGCAACATGTGCGCCCTGCATTTTCTGTTTTAAATTTCCTGGTTCCGCTATACTGAGAATTCAAACATCAGTGAGGCTTTGTTTTCCCAGCAACCACTACGACAAACACTAGGCCTACAAATCAACACAGTTCAACACGCGACAGACTCGCCTGCCCGAACGGCCTTCACTACTTCTCCATTATTTTCACATCGACTTTCGAGCACCTGGTGGCTGAGAAACAATGGAAAAAGGAACACTGTCTAAACGGGCTTTGCTCGGTTTCCCTGCGTTCCTCGTGGTTCAACTGATCCTCGAAGGAATTCTGTTGAGGTCGTGTTCAGCTTTGGAGCGCGATCTTCCTGAAGAGTTGAATATCACTAAGATAAGAAAACGTTTTTGTGGAAGGTAAGCATAGTTAAAAAAAACGCGATGAACGATGTGGGTCATTCTATAAAATTGAGGTCTAAATAAAGTGGATTATGAATGAAAAGATATGATAAATAAATACTGTACTTGTGAACAAGCCCTCAGAGGGAAAGATACAGAAATACTGGTTATTCTGTAAGTTTCGGTTTCAACTCAGTGGCATATCTAGCTCCCCTGAGACCATTTTGCGTTTTTTAAGGAATTGAATGCGCCGCCATTTTAGAAGAAGTACTATTTCCTTAGTTAGAGGGGTGCTACGGATTCTGTTACTGATGAAAAAAAATGAAGAAAGAAAGAAAGATCGTTTTCGGGAAAAAGCAACACCCCCACATCCTAGACCCGGATACACCACTGTCCAAAACGAGTGACATTAACAAATGTAACTTGAATGAAGCTCCACGTATAATTCTATTCTGATTATACAGAAATACTTCGATGAATTGAAATTGAGATTGTTCCTCAACTTGGCCAAGTTATCGGGACAGAGAATCATGCGCCGTGCTCCTGAAGATAAACACATTTAACACTACCTCTCTACCTTGGAGAAGAGTCCTGTGGTTGGATCAATTACATACTGTCCCAAAGAGTCACTGTCAAATCGATTTCGTTAAAACATGGTCATGTATTTTGTGAGAGTGAGAGATTTTGTGAAGGGGCTTGAGTGGTCAACAACCAATTTAGCCTTTGTATATGGACTTTGACTTTTACCTCGAAAGAGCAGCTACTCAGTGACAGCTGACACTTGTATTTAGAAATCAGGTTGTTGCTTGAGGACTTGGTCCTTGTAATCTGCTATCATGCTAACGACGTTTGATCATTAACCCATTCATTAGCCAAGACCAACCGGCAACACTTGCACAGTCTCTGCCTCTACAAGTGCCCATGCTTCACCTGGTTTGGGAGAAACTAGTACATAGGGGTAAAGTGGTTTGCCCAAGATCACAGAATGTTCAAGTTGTCAGCTATATCATCTGAATCTGACAAACCCAAGTCACAAGACCGCGCCCCCACTCATGCGTAATATTGCGGAGCATTTCATGAAATCAATTATTCGACACTTTTCAAATGTATGGACAGCTAGCCTACATTATGATAACGAAATATTATACTGAAATTTTAAAAAATTTAACAATACATTACAAGTAAGTCATTTTATGGCGGAGTTATCACTCTTTCCTTTCAAAAAATTCTATTTTTGACGTTCCCTTATAGATGTTCTGGAGGCTGCAAAAACCTCAAGTTAGAAGTTTTTCAAGTTTAGATATCCACTTTCTTGAGAGAGAAAAACTAGATTTGGGGTGTAATGCTGTAAAGAGCATACAATAATTTGCAGAAGGTTTTTGTCTCCAAATTTGAGAAGACCTGGCCCAAAATCAGTTGGAAAAAAGAAAAACCTTTGTGCTATATTTTACATGCAATGCATGAATTTTGGGCTTACAAATGCAAGTTGTATACGCTTGAATTTTGGAATAACTTTTCTGAATTTGAATCAGTTTCTTTTGAACACTTCTGGCACTACGATGGTGGATCAGGGAATTCTGTGTTTTAATTATAATTACCATAGGGCAGTCGTCTGCCGAAGGATCACCAAAGGGACCGATATTCGAGAAAGAGAAAACTTGGTTCGAGTTGTAACCTAACTGCATTTTGGCAATGTCTGTACTTTTTTATCAGGTGCGTCAGGAGGTCTTTTTTATGCAATCCCCAAAATCCTCAAGTGTGTCGGATGTGTCGGGAAATCTGTAGAACCGACTCGAAATTAAGATGCTGGAATGACACGGGTAGGCATAAAAATCGAAATTTGGGAAAATATCTCTAATATTTTCGATGCTGATTCAAGGCCAGATTTCAAACATCTAGATCCTTTATCATTAGAGTTGAGCTGCACATGCTTACCGATTTACTGCTTTGGTTAACCAATTATCCTTAACAACACAGATTATACATGTGGAGACAGGGCGTTGGAAACAGTGTGTGGCTACCTAGACGCTGTGGTTTGTAAAAATGAGAGCGCTAACGAGACATGCGTTTACGAGCTCTGTTCTGAGAAAAAGCCTGTCTGTACTACATCGGAACAGGAATCGAATCCTGAGTGGGCTCAGAAGAAGAGGTACTTTTCCGGACAAATTCAGTCTCTTCTATCATTTTAAGTGCTGTGTGGAAACATAATACTCGTTACTAAAAGGGCACATTATACGTAGCAATATTAAACGCAGTTCCAGTGAAGTACTCCTTTGTGCCGTATTTGCTTGACTTTCAGTGTTTGTTCTGCCATTTGATGGGCGAATTTGTATGAACATTTCGAGCCAAAGTTTTTTTTTCTCAGGCAGACATCTCAGTGATACACCTATTTTGCACTAAGTTTGGCTGTCATTTAAAAAAAAAACTTTGTTGACTTTGATGAGTAGCTGTTGTTTCGGTTCATTTCAGAAGGCGTGTGATCAAAACCTTTCCACATACAGTTTTCGTGATCGCAGATTAGTTCACAATTAGAAAAGACCCCCCCACCCAAACGGGGAAAATCGAAATATTTAAACAAGTGTACTTCATATTGAAATAGTAACAGGCCTTGGTGTAGGACCACTACACAGCCACCACAAACACGTGGGCCTGCTGCTACGACGACTGCCCTTGCGTGCGTCTTATCTCTGGTGCTTTTTCTGGTCCTTGCTGGGGCCGTGGTTTGGTATCTTAGACGGAGAGGAAACCTGCCGGCTTTCAAGAAGACGCCCCTGTGAGTGAAGCACCGAATAAATTTTTTTCTTACCATTTGGGTCATTCTATTATTTAGGGGTCACATCTGACATTTGATTTGGCAAGTTCAGAACACGTTCTCTAATTTCCCAAAGTGATAAACTAATGCAAATGACCTGCCATACAAATGGAAATAGCTTGAAATCAATTTCAGTGATATTTCAATGTCGAATTACACAGATCAGGTGTAACAGGGACACAAACATGTCAAACGTTTGGACCCTGAACTTACAGAACGACCCATTTCTTTGATTGTTGTAGTTGATAGTGACTGTAACATTTGAACTGCAGATCCTGTTAATTCTAATCCATTTTTTGTTTCGAAATTGATGTGACGTACTAAAATGTTCATGTGACTGATAAACATCTCTGAAAAAAATAAGCAACATCGAGTCAATCTTTTTAAGCTCAGGGATTCGTTGCACCTTGTTTGATGATTTTCCATAGAAACAACTAAAATAGCTTTGCGGAATACTAAA